TTGGCCTGGAGCTTCTGAAGTCTTCACAGCCCGCCCAGCACACAGCAGGGTGGCGGGAAGGGTCCCAAGGACCCAGGCAGTGGAGGTGGGTATCTGGCCTCCTGTCCTCAAGAGGCCTCTGTGGTCTCCCAGCATCTCGCTCAGCCCACCGCCCAGGAGGAAGCCAGCACGACTTCCTGGACCATACTGCTAGCGACCGCGTGTAGACAGACTCCTGGTGGGTTTACCAAGCTGTCAGGTAGGAATCCTATGCGGAACCTTCCCTGTGACGAAAGTGTGCACCAGTCTTACCTTCCTGAGGGAGGGCGAGGGGTGGCGGGGGTGTTCCGTAGTGTTTCCCAAAGGACTTGCTGAGGGAGACTGGACACCGCTTCAGAACACCATGCAGTCTGTCATGTTTTAAGGGAGAGAAACCCTTTTCTTTCAGCTCTTTCCCTCTGTACGGGTTTCTAATCCCCTTTCCAAAATAATCTTAAGGACGTTAAGCCAGAATCTACAATGTGTGTTAACTAATGAGCTTGGGCCCATTACCATTATTTAAAGAGAATTTTAAGATTTCAGTTTCCAAAGTACGTTTCCAAAGTTTTTTACTAACAGAAATGCAAAAATAAACTATTTCCTGCAACCAAGCTAAAATCACTTATTCTAGTAGTTTGGTAGATTGTAGGAGGTTTTATATGTTCACAGTCACATCATCTGTGAACCTGTAAACTTACTTAGAGCTTAGAGACACTATGATTCTACGGTCTCGGTGAAGGAGACTTGGATTCTTTTTGCTGCATCGTCTCGGATGGAACCTTGCATGCCCAGAACCGCGATCTGTGAGGGCGCATTCAACAGCTCTCCTGAGATGTCGTGTTCCTGGTTTGGGCTGAGTCAGCTCCAGTTTCTCTGTGATGCGTCCAGAAGCCTGAAGGTGACCTTGTCTCAGGTGAGGATCCTGAATGTCCTGTGTGGAACCCAGACCTGTGTGTGGTCCAAGCGGGCTATTTATAGCAGATACGATGGTTCCTGAAAGTCAGAGCCACACGGGAAGGGCCAGCTAGGGAGCTACAGGGACCTTTCTGTGACAGGTTTTAGGGCACGTAGGTTTTCCCCCTTATGTGTGCTTTGTTTTTGAAAGATTTTTTTTAAAAAGAAACAGGAGATACATGTATACTACTGATTATTTTTAATGATTTTGAGCTATGATTCAACCACAGCATTAAGAATAAGCAGAAAAGGCTGATTTCATAACACGCAGCACTTAGAGCAGCATTTTTCTTCAAAAGTATGTATTGCAGGTACAGACTGCAGCTCTCAGAACTGCGTCACCACTGCTCCACTGAGGACGCAGACACTTGACAGCTGGAAACCTTTTTCTGTATGGGAACTGTGTTGAAAAGTAAGCACAAATGGCTGTTTAAGAAGACTTTAACGACTTGAGATTATCATAGCTCATGTGAACAACCACTGAAAAGCTGAGATACAGTTGTGCTTTTATCATTAAGCAGCCTCCTGGGGGTCAAGTGAACTGGACGCTGTGAGTAGCAGTGCACGCATTTTAAAACAGCTTTTAAACTAGAAAGCATGACTTCTGAATGCCACGCAAATGAACAAGGGTTGTAGACAAGCAGTACCAGTGTGTCGCAGCCTCGGCAGCTCTGCAGGAGGGAGGCAAAGACGTGGTAACCGGTGCAGTGCCTCCGAGTCTGGAGCGCCCTCAGGTGGCGCGCTGCCCAGCAGCCCTCCCAGGAGATGCAGGTGCGGGGAGGGGAGCCTTTCCGACAAGGAGCAGCCTCGGCCCCTAACCTGAGCCCCCAGGCCTGCAGTTTGCACTGAGCGGACGGCGCGGGCTGCTGACTTCCAGTCCCTTCGCACCAAGAGTTAGAGAGGCGACTTCAGTTTAAGGATCATCAGTAACTCGTTTCCTGGAGGACAAGGGTAGGATCTCATCATGTGCAGAATCAGAACATGCACCACAGAGCAGATGAAGAACATGGGATTTATTAGAGTGAATGTCCTCTGATGGCAGAAAGAACTGGAAATCCGTATCCGACGGGCAGAATCCACTCATCACCTCTGGGCGGCACTGGAGAGGGTACCCACGCCCACAGTTCATTCGTGGTTTTAGTGAAACTGTCATAGACAGTTCCTTTTTTAAATATTAGGACATTCGAAGAAAAATGCAGAGGTCACAGCCGGACACCAAAAGCACGGCTGGAAGTAGGCGGGTCGGAGGTGACAAGACCCCCAACCAGCGGCAAAGCAGAGTTTGCTTTTGGGGGCGAGACTAGCAGGGACACCAGAAGGATGGACGTGAGACTTCACCCGGCTGACCCACAGCGAGTGTTTCTGGGACGGGGTCTTCGCTCATGCGGGCTGGCTGGTCCCGAGTTACCTTCACTGCAGACACTCCTTTGGTTCACAGGTTCCACAGCTTCAGTTTGTCAAAAAGGCAAGGAGACAGATGGTCACCGGTCATCTGGACAGGCCACTCCGCTTGCTCCGACGTAAGCTGTGTGGTTTTTATGAAACATGCTGGGGTCTGCTCCCTGCCTTGTTCTACAACATGGGAGTTAATGTCCTTTCATAAAGCAAGGTGAAAAATCAACATTTTTCTGATTGTAACTAATACTGGTCCAACAAGCATTGCTGAAGGGATTAAAATAAGTATCTGGTGGCACCAAAAAAAGCTGTGAGATTTAAAATTTTTTTAAGTGTTTTCACAGCAAACATGCACCTCTGATCGCCCACAGGTGCTGGTCGTGTGCCACCGCCTGCTTGTTCAGACTTGGTTCCCTTGTGTTATGATACTGATATTTAGTAGGAGAATTACATAGATTTGTATCTGAATACATCCATTTGCAAATTTCCTTACAAAAAAGGACAAAGCACATAGGCATTCACTAATTCTGTGCCATTTCTGTTAAAATTGGATCTACACATGGTATCACGGTAGTACCAAGTGTCTGTTCTGCCCCCTGTGCAGGACAAGTGCGGCACACGTCCCAGGCGTGGGCAGTGCCGCACAATGAAGCCATGAGCCGGGTTCACGCGTCTGCCCCAGCCTGTGGGGCTCTCAGCCTCGCGTCTCACAGGCACACGTCTGGGGCGCGGCCGCGGACACGGCCTGGTCCCTGCGCACGTCTCACGTCATCTGGAAAGTGGCAGTGGCTGCCTCCCCGGCCGTGAGTGTAAATGTGACCCGTGTGACACGCAGCACTGACTGGGGGAGTGGAGTCACCTGAGCTGACACCTGGGGACGACCACATCCGTCCGCATCCCTGCATCAGGGGCAGGCCTGCCCTGGCGGGGTCCGAGTGTCAGGTTAGCCGCATTTGGGACACATTTGTGGTCTGGGTCAGAGCACTGGCCGTGCCCCTCTAGACACAGCATCCTGGGGGGACTTGCTAATGCGGCACCACTGCGCCAAGGCCGCGGTAACCAGGGCAAACCAAGAAGTGGAGGGCAGGGCAGAGGGCACGTGTCACCGCGAGGCCCAGCGTCCAGCACTGCTGCTTCTGACGTTAGCCGTGCGGACAACATCTAAAAGTTAAGAGCTAGTATCCTTCCTAGCTCTTCCTCCACAGACACTGTCGAGCTTTAGCAATTTTAAAAAGGGAAGAGTTGCACTAACTTGCTGCTACCCTAAGTGGCGAACCTCGAGAAGCAGCCTGCGCACAGCAGACAGCAGGTGTGGGGGCCGCTCCCGGCCCCTGCCTCACGGCCAGGCCACCTCGTGGGCGCCTGGCGGCCAACAGCAGCAGGCAGGGCCGGCCCCAGGCCCCAGGAGCAGGTGGAGGGGAGATTCAGGCCACCTGTCAGGATGCAGCCTCTGGTTCTGAGGAGGGCGGGGACCGAGTGCATCCTTCCAGGTCTGGGCAGCTTTCAGAACGCTTGCCTTTGAGGCCTCCTCATGGACTGATCGGAAGCTGAGACGCACCCGTGAGTGCACGGCCCTGCGTCCTCCCCCAGTTTGAATGAGTGGACCTAAGTGTCATCCTTGTGACAACCCTTCCTGAGTGTGACACACCATGCTCTGCTGTCTGCAGCTTTGTGTTTCTGTGGTGTGGAGGGCAGGGGCTGCCTGTCAGGCTCTTTAACCCTGAATTTTGGTTCAGGTAGAAGAACAGGTCAATTTTGTGTAGCAAACTCTTCTGTACTAAAGGACAGCCTCTGAAGAACACTAGACTTCCTGAAAAAGCGAACAGATGCCTGGAAGTTCCTGTAAGTGGGACTCACATCCTGGGCTCACGTCCTGGGAGTTGCTGAGCCGGAGAGGCCACAGCAGGAGGACTGGCGCCTGGAGCCTCAGCTGCCACCGCCAGGCACCCTGCGACCCTCCCAGAGACAGCAGCCCCATCACGAGCGCCTAAACCGCTGCTTCTAACCTGGACCCTTGGGCTCCACCGATGGGCTGTGTCCTCACAGTCACGCCTCTTTCCACACCCAGCGGCCAGACCTGGGAAGGAGCACAGATCTAGGTCACCTCTGCTCTGGGTCGAGGGGAAACTGACTTAATTTACGACCTTGGCTTTTGAACCAGGTCACTGCAGAAGCCCAGCTGCAGACCATCAAGACCTGGTTTCATCTGTCCACATCTCTGGAGGGCAGTTCTCCATGGCAGCTGAGAGGGAACAGCTTCTGTTTGGAAGACAGTGAATTTGAATGACATGACTGTCTTGCCAATGCCACTGTGTGTGAATTACCAGCAACAGCTACGACTAACAGTCGGTAACGTTAGCTTTCTAGCTGCATTTTAGCTGCAGTGTTGTGGTTTCCACCCTTTGCTCTGAGGCGCTCCCCACCCTGCACCTGAGACTGGCCTGCAGTTCTGGCGTCCAGTGCAGAGGCTGAGTGACCCCCAGGAGTGTGGCTGGTTCTGCGTCCCGTGTCCCTCCCGGGGGGGGCCAGCAGGCTGCACAGGAGGGTCCGCCAAGTCTTGCAATGACCAGCCATCCAGGAACGGACACAGTGGACACTGAGAAGTCACGTTGCAACGGCACAGAATAACCACCTTGCATTTTAAACAATTTATTGCATAAAATAAGATGTGCATCTTGAGTATATTCCATGCTACAGTGAAATAAATCTACATCACTGAGAAAACCGCGCCACTGGAGGATGGGGGCGGCACCAGGCTTCGGGCCTTACAGTGAAACACGCAGCCTGAGAGCCCGCGAGGACGCAGCACCTCCTGTCCCGACGTCTCCAGGTGCTTCGTGACGCGTCACTGCTGTGCCGTGACTTCCTGATCAGCGTCGGTGGCGTGTGTTACACTCCTGCCTCGAACATCCTTTCGTGCATGGCTGTGGGGTCGAGGGCCTGAAATAATCCACAGGTGAAAAGACAACACACAGAACTTCAGGTAAACTTCCTCATTATCTTAAACATAGTGCAACTTTCAAAAACACAGCATCACAACACAAATTAGCTCCCTGCGTTCGTTTGATCTCTCCACTCTCTACCTTGGCACACGAAACAGGAACTTAGAATCATTTTTAAAGCAGAAGTTCCACAGTTTGGGGGAAAGCAAACTGGCGATTCTTCCCCACAGACTGTAATAACGCTTCCTCCGCATCTGGTTCATGGTAAAACAGGCCATTCTGACGCCTTCCTGTCACGACTGCTCTCAGTTGATCAGGTGCCTCTGTGGGCTTTACTTCATGGTGTCGTCACAGCACCCCTTTCTCTGTTCCACGTGAGCAGCTCCCCTGAAAGACCGCTGCGCACGCTGCAGGACCACGCGTGCAGCCGACCCCGTCGTGCCGGGCGGGGCAGCGCCTTCCACCTCATCCTCGCAAGGCTGTCGGGTCAGACAAGGTTCCCAGGCTTCCTGTCCATGCCCCCGCTGTGTGCGCTGCCGTGTGGGGGGAGGACGAGAGAGGTGCCAGGGTGGGGGCCCGTCACCTCACTGTAAGCTGGGGGCGGCCCCTCCATCCTCCCATTGCTGCTGCAGGTGCTGGCGCTGATGCCCGAGTGGCTGCTGGGCGGGCAGGGGCCCCCCCCGTACACGGAGGCGTCCATCAGGTCACTGTCAAATATGGTCCGGTTGGGCGGGGCCCGCACAGACTCCCGGTTGAGTTCCAGCTGCTGCTCGGCGTCCCGCAGCTGCAGGGTGCAGGGCCCCTGGTAGGGAGGTGGCTCCTCCCCATCCGACAAGGAGATGGTAGGGGGCAGGTCGATCTCGTGCTGCACGTAGGGGTAGGTGGGCTGGAAGCGGCTGAACCGACCCCTCTGGAGAAAGGACGGGGCAGCCAGCGCATCCGGGGACCGCGAGGCGCATATGACCTGCAAGCGAGAGAGAAGCGGCTGGGAGACGCTGTGCACAGGGACCAGCACTGACGCCTCGGGTCCGGAACCCAGGCCTGGACTGTGTGCTCTCCTGTCAGAAACTCAGAAAGACCATTCCAGAGAAAAAGCAGCCTTCTTACTCCTCGTGGCTTCATCACTCACCTCGCCAAGCCCAGGCTGGCTCAGCACCAGGTAAGTGGTCTACCTGAAGCGTGGGTGTGGGGGAGGCGCCCTGCTACGTGGGCCCCTCCTGCTGGTTCGTGGGGCGTAGGGAGGGGCTGCCCCCACATGACCTGCCCCTGCCCTGCTCTTCACTCCTCTGCCTACAGAGTAAGGACAGGCGGCCCCACAGCTCTGGCACCTGTCACAGGGCCCGGGCAGCACAGGCAGGTCCTTGGAGCAGGTACAAGGCACTGGGTTCATTTATGAATTTATGGAGCTCGCTGCCCCTATCAGTGAGTTTCACATCTGGAACAAGTAACCTTCTGGGTTCTAATTTTTCCAGTTTCTTCTTTCCGAATAGAATTTTCCGGTAATTTAGTACTGACATGGAAAATGTTTTGTATTCCAAAGTAAATATGATTATAGACTTTTTTCCCCAAAAAGGATCCAGGCATTTGGTTTCCTACATAGTCTTCTATCTACTCCACCACCCAGGTTTCCTCCAGAGGAAGAACGTATATCCATCCGTCTGCTTCTCTGACACCACAGATTTAACTTAAACTAAAAAACTGTCATTTTTACAGTCATCCTATTAGCCTGGGAGACAGAATGAATCATGCTGCAGTGCTGACAGGCTCTCCCACACCCCGCACCTCATGAGCAGCCCGAGGCACCAGGTGAAGTTCCAGGAGTCTTGACCTACTCTCTGGAAGGAGCCTTGGCACCGAGAGTCCCTGGGAGAGTCGAGGAAGACCCCTCCCCACCTTTCAAACCAAGTGAGGCATCCACCAATCTTGGTGTGAGGGTCACTCCCCTTCCTGCTCGGGGCCCGCGGCTCCTGCCACCCACCTGCCCCCGTCCGACCCCTCACCTCCGAGGCGGGCGGAGGTCCAGAGCCGTCCAAAGGCCACAGACGCCCTTCCTGGCGGGGGGAATAAGACACCACAGGAAGAAGTTAGTTTCACGCGGCAGCACCAAAGCCAAGGGACCACACTCCTGTGACAAAAGGCCCTTCACACCTGCACCCCCAGGGAGAATCGCAGCCACGGCGAGTCAGACAGTGCAGGTCTCCCCCCAGGAGCCCTGAGGCCGATCCATAGTCTATACACATGTGTTTTGAAGCTCAGGTGTCACCGAGCTGTTCGGTCCACATCTGGACGCAGAGGGTCAGCCCTCGCATGGGCATCCCCACCCACGTGTGTCACCTTCCAAACCGGGACTGTCCGTCCACATTGCGAACATGGAGCTTCTGAAACCTGAGAACCCTACAGCGTCTTCTCCAGGTTGATTCTTCAGTACAAATGTTCACAAAGTGGGTGGAACCTGACATCTCGTTTTTTCAAAAATGTCTGGCCAGACTAACAGGGTGACATGCAAACAGAAGGCGTGGCTAAGGGTCACTTCTGACACCGTGAACTTGTTGACAAAGCATTTCAATTTGTAACCCTTCCGAGCCCAAACTGCTGGCGACCAGCAGGGTCCACTGAGCTCCTGTGACTGTAATAAGAGACCTGGAGGAAGAGGCGCCTGTATTTTTGTATTCCCAGGATATGCGCACATGACCTTGTGGCATCACTCGGCCTCCTGTGGCCTAAAGGTGCCCCAGGCAAACCTGGTCTTCCGAAGCGAAGGTCACCTCCCAGCTCGCCCGCGGCGGCCGCAGTCAGAGCAAGTCTGGGCTGAAGGTCTGACTCCACAGCCACACAAGGGCAACAGTGACAGAGCAACCCTGACCCTGTGTCCAGCCCCTGGCTGCTCCCGCGGTGAGGACGGCACAGACACCCCCGACGCTTCTAAGACTCACTGTTTCACCCTTGCTCTCTTCCCACCCTTCAGACGGGAGCTCAGTGCTCTCCTGCCTCCAGAGCCCACCGAGACCCGGCAACAACACACCGCAGACCGAAGTCCAGCACACAGCATGGTGTCACCAAGTGAGGTGGGAGGGAGGGGACCCGGAGAGCATGGCACATTTTCTGACAATGGCAGTAACCATTCTCAGTGGCCGTGCTCAGAATAACCATTCTTGTAGGGAAATAAATTCCCTAGAAATGAGCAACTGGAAAAACTCACCAAATACACATCAATGTCTCTGATTCTAAATCCATTCATGCTTCCTGGTCCCCCTGCTGGCGATCTTGGCAGTGTCACCCCCTCCTGGTTTCCACCCTGACCTCTGGGCACTCTGCTCCAGGCTCTGCATGGGGTAAATGCTGGAGTCCTGCGGGGGGGAACCCCGCCCGCCACGGCTGACAGGGCCATCTAGGGGACAGTCCCCGCTCTCATGGGTTCCAGTCCCTCCGTGGCACCACGCCTGCTGTTTCAGTAACACTTAACTCTCCCTGAAAACTGCCCCTTCCGCTGCGTCCCTGTCGCAGGACGTCCGCCCCTCCGGCCTCAGCACCTGCTACACGGGAGACGTTACAGCCACCAGACTGCTGTGCAGAGAACCATGCCTAGAAGATGAGTGGGTCCAGAAGGCCTGGAGCCAGCCCTGCCCCAGGCCACGCTGCCCTCCTATGACCAAGACCTGCCCTGGGGCCACAGGCCCTCCAGCCTGCTCCCTCAAGGGCCCACAGAGAGTCAGGTCAAGACGCGGTACCTCGTGCCGAGACCCTTGGTTTCTTCGTCTCCAGACACCGGGGAGGAGGGGGCCCCGCGCAGGTCTGGCATTGCACCTCCTGACAGAACCAAGCTCCTCTCAGCAGGGGAAGCACCCCTAGTCTCGGCTGATGCCCATACCGTCACGTTTTGTTACATTCGGAGTAAGCCGTGAGACGAGGTGACAGCAGTTCACAGAATTCTGAGCAACAGGAACAACACTGCTGGCATTTTCACAGAAGCCCAAAAGCACCCTCGGCCGTGTCCTCGTCAGGTCGGCAGCGCAGGGAAGGAAGCAGCCCCACTGCCCGCAGGTCCACCCAGCCTAGTAAGTTTGAAATCAAGACGTGAGAAACTTCCAACTTTTCTCCACTGTTATTTTGGCCACGGGTGGGGGTCCCCTGTGACATCACAGGGATTTCAGGGTGGACTTTTCCATTTCTGGGACTTTGACAGGACCGTACTGACACCCGAACAGCATCAAGTCTCCAGTCCGTGAGCACGACACAGCTTCCCTTTATTTGTGTCGAATTTCTTCCAGCCGCATCACATAGTTCTCAGTGTGCAAGTCCTCCACCTCCTTGGTTAAATTTACTCCCAAGTATTTCATTCTTCTTGATGCTGTTGTAAAATGAAAGTTTTCTTCATGTCTCTTCCGAGTGTTCACTGTTAGTGCAGAGAAATGCAACTGATCTGGGGGCTGACTTTGTGTCCTGTAACCTGACGTGGCTTCTTTCATTAATTTTTACATTGAAATCTGTTTTTATAGGTCAGCTGCATATGGTTCAAGCTGAGTAAAGTGTGCTGTCCCTCTGCTCCTAGTAGATGGCCGGCCACCGCCTGGCTCACCGTCCAGCCGGCCGAGCTGCCTGGGAAGACAGACGTCAGTGACGTGTGCCCACACCTCTCAAGGCTGTGTCTGGAGTTCTTGGGCCCTTTATTGTCTTCCTGTTACTTGGCGGGCTCAGATAAGGAAAAGGAGTCCAGACAGTCTCAAAGCTCTGCAGCCACACAGACCAGACCCCGCAAACTGAGGCAGGGCGCCCTCAGAAACCCACTGCTCAGCATTTGCTTTTCTTGGGACTGAAGGCTGGGTCCATCGTTTTCTCTTCATCCAGACGGTGGCTTCCACCAAACGCAGGGCCGGTCCGTCCCTCCCCAGGTCCCCCAGACGGCATCTCAGGGATGCTGCGGTGATGCAGGCTGACCGGCCTCGGCCAACAGTCTCCCTCCGTCCTGCCCTTGGCGGGAGAGGAGCTAGCCCAGGGTGTGTCCTTCCACACACCCTGCTGCAGGAGGCGTGGGGCCCTGTGAGGAAGAAGGAGCCGGGGAGGAGCTCTGACGACAAAGCAAACCTTCCGAATCAGGGCAGGCTCGGCCCAGAGGAGCTGCTGGTCCTGCCCAGCATTTCCCAGAAGACTCCCTGAGAACCAGGGACGTACGGGGATCCTGAGATCCAGTCTACTAACCTCAGCCTCGCCTCCCTCTTTGGCCAGAGTAGAAGCCCATTAGGAGAGGGCAGCTCATGCCAGGGAGTGGAGTTTCCTCAGCCAAATCAGAACGGCTGCATGTTCAGCTCCTTCCTCAAAGACAAACCCCAGTACTTTCCATCTTGACTGTCAGGTCTTCCATGAGAACAGACACAAATAACCTCGGCCCACAGTGTTAAACCAGGTCTCCTGGAGCTGATGGGTAAGATGCCCGGCACTTCTCGTATCAGTTTACAAGAAACCCTCTTCTTGCCAGTGTGGTCATGGAGACCTCATATCGTTCTAGAACAAATGGGCCAAAACGCCCCAGAAGTGGGGGGTCCCAGCAAGGCACAGGCTGAGACCTCGGGACGCTCGCCCGCCGCAAGGCCAGCAGGGGACATCCCGCACCCACAAGCTGCCAGCTAGCAGCGTGCGCTCCGGGGACGCCAGACCTGGGGCAAGTGAAAGGCTTTCGGGAGATCGCAGGTGCTCGGATAACAGACACGGAACCATACACCCGCAGCGGCCCACACCCCGTCTTCAGTCACCTCCCTCTAAGGGGCGCAGACCCGGACCCGCCGTGCTGTGTCAGTCCAAGGGGCTCCCCGCGCCCAGCCCCTCTGAGCCCTCGAGAAGAGGCTGGTTGGGATGCTGAGGGAGGGCCCCCTGGAAGGCTGCAGTCGCACCATTCCCCACATGCACAGGTGGCCCCCAGGAGTTGGGGGAAATGCCAGCCAGCACTAGTGGGGTGGACGCTGCTACTGGGGAGGCTGGGGCTCGTGTGGTCATGTTGGTCCACGTCCAGTTGCCAGGGGAGCTGTTCCCAACGCAGGGTCCCAGACCAAGACCCCGGGTGGTGCGCGTTCCCTGTGGCCCCTCCGCCCCTCCTTCCGGTTGCTAGCCACGTTCTCTTCCCTCTGCAGACGAAGCCAAACCAGCCATCACCCACAGGTGTCAACAGAGCCCGGCACCTGCCGAGGTCAGGGCCTACTGACTTGGGGTCAGAACCCTTGTTCATCGTGGGGTCTGCCCCGCGCACTGCTGGATGTGCAGAGCATCCCTGCAGCCCCCAACCCACGCCCTGAGCTGTGACAGCCAATCCATCTCTCAACACTGTCAAACTTCTGGGTGGAGACCACGAGCCCGATGATCAGACAGCTCTCCCAGCGCTGGGGTAAGAGTGGCGGCATCTCCTAGGCCTTGTGCGGGAGACGCAGATAGTTGGGGGCAGGAAGCACGCTCCCCGACACATGCTCCCTGCGCCTGCACCCGCATCCGGGAGGAGGAGGGGCAGCCTGGGCCTGAGCCACCTGGTCACGCGTGAACAGGGGCCTCCAGTGCAGGAACGTCGCAGAGCAGTACCCACGCCCCCCTTCTCAGGAGGAGAACCCACACCCTGAGAAGCCCAGCCCACCGGGGCCACGCAGAGGAAGAGCAGTGGAGTCAAAGGAACCAACCCGCTGGCGCGCGGCCCGAGCTCTGCCTAATAAGCGCAGGACGGGCTCCCTCGGGCAGACCTGCAAGTGTCTGGTGACAATGCCCGGCGACATAGGTGGGGCCTCTCAGACGTGCCCTGTGGTGTATGGCCCGGAAGGAGCCTTTGGGAAGTCACGATTTCCAAAAAGGGAGGCTGGCGCCCGGCAGCCCCAGGAGAGGGTGGGCGCAGGCCAGTGGCGGCCCCTGGGCCCACCTCCAAACCCAGCAGGAGACTCCATCTGTGTCTCCGCCCTGTGGCCTGCAGGCCTGCCCGCCCTCCCGCCCTCCCGCCCGGCGTCTGCTCTCAGGGCGCCTCAGCCAGCACAGACGGTGTGGACAGGACACATCAGTATGTGCAGGAGCCTGACTCTCAGCCGGGTGTCGGGCTGGTGCTGCTGTCGCACTCGCTCTTCGTCCTGTCTAAACCTGGGAGGATTCCAAGTACACCGGCCTCTGCGCCCCGGCTCCACGTCCACGGGTTCCACCAGCCCTGCAAGTTCCAGCCACCAACCACGTGGCACTTAAAACCGCTGACGCATGGTGCACATCACACTGGGCATGTAACCTAGAGACGGAGGTCCCCTGCACACCCCACCCTGTTTCATATGGGGACATGAGCACTTCTGGTTTTCTCATCCGTGGGGGTCCCGGACCAGCGCCCTGGACCCTGCGGGCGACGGCACCTTGTGTTCAGAGCCTGGCAAGAGTGAGATCCTCCTGTGGGCAGAGAGTTGCCCTTATTCACCCCGGGGCTCGGGGTCTGGACCTCGGGGACCCATGCTGCTGGGGTGACAGAGGGCCCACAGAGAGACTGTCACCGTGTGAGGGAAGCCGCAGTCCCCGGGCTGGAGGGGCTTGGGGCTAGCGGCCCAACCAGGGCAGGGACCTGGGATGAGGGAGGGGACAGCAGAGGACGAGAGCAGGCCTGACCTGCAGCCCCAGGGCACTGGCTCACCGCTGTGGTTTGAGGGGAGGCACACAGCAGCCCCCCGTCTGTCCTGGGCGGCCAGGTGTGCGCAGAGCAAGCCTCAGCTCCAGCCCCGGGCCAGCAGGCCTGAGGACTCCGAGCAGCTCTGTCCCCCAAAGGGTCCCAGGGGCCCTGGGCCTGGCAGCCTGGCCACCATTCCCGCCAGGCTGGCTGCATCCCATGCTCACGATGGCCCCCCAAGCCAGTCGCCAGGCAGCCCTAGGCTCCATACACTCCTATGGCCACCACGGGAGCCAAGGACCTGTAACTGTGGCCGGAACTCCAGACTGGAAAGCCGACTTGGAACACAAGCCCCTGGTGGCCCCTGGTCTCTGAGGTGCAGGTCACAGAGCACTGTGGCCAAATGTCAATGTTTCACTTCCCAAAGGAGGGCGGTGACTCAGGGCAGGATGCAGCTAGAAACTTTAACAACCATCACCACTACCTGAAGAGCCGCACTGCTCGCTAAGACCCACACAGCCCACCCCTCACCCCCAGGAGGGGCTGGACCCTCACCCCTGCCCCCGCCTTCCAGCTCGGCCACACCAGGCCCTGCCTGTCCCAGCACGGACGCAACTCCCAAGCCCAACGCTGAGGGGGAGGCAGACGCAGCACAACTCGGCCGCCACCAGGGCCAGGAGCAGGAGACACCGTGTGCTGACAGCCACCTGGGCAGCGATGACCGAGCAGGGACTGCACCCAGAGGTGGCGCTGGCCTCCGTGGGGTTGCCCGACCTGGGTGTTGGGTTGGCGATAACCCACCGAGCGGAGAACCTGCAACATGAGTTTGTCAACCACGGGGTCTCAGGATCCCGCCACACTTACCGGCTGCAGCCCATCCCCAGGCCTCCGGCCCCGGCTCGGGCGGTGGATGAAGGACCGAGTGGAGACTCGGTAGTGGCTAAGCAGGCAGACGATGACAACGACCATGACCGTGACCACCACCACGATGACGACCACCTGGGCCAGCTCCAGCTGTGCTGTGACAGAAGAGGAGAGTTGTCAGCCTGGTGCCAGCCTGCTCCCCAGACCTGTCTTCCTCCCAGCCTCCTGGGACGGTCCCAGGGCAAGGCCAGACTCTGCTCTGACGGCGCAGAGGGGAGGGCGACCTCTGGGCTCAGCCTGACCTTGATAAGAAACCAGCCCTGCTGTGCAATTCGGGACAGGAAGGGCTCGGCAAGCGCATCCCATTGGCCCAACATCGTGAGGGGCCCCCATCGCCCCTGAACTCCAGCCGGCCCAGCATGCCCAGCTCTGGACTCCTTCTCCTGGGCGGGCAGCCCTGCAGAGGCCCCCTCCTGGGATACGAGAAACTCAGCGCACTCAGCACCTGAACCCCATCTCTGCCAGATTGACGCCCGCACTCCCCTACCCCCAGCACAGCTAAACCCACCTCTGTGGTGTGGAGTACTTCCACGCAGGGTCCACGCAGCCCTGGAGGGAAAACGTAGCAGTGAAAAGCCCGACCTCTGCGCTGCAGAGGCTCCCCTGTGCAAGTGATTTAGAAGACATGTCTGCACCGTCCCTGGGCCCTGCTGGGTTCTGCCATCACCAGCACAACTGTTTAAACTGTGACCATGCACCCCAACACAGGACAGCGCCACAGCACGCCTTCCAGAGCAACAGGGCACTGAGCCCCTTGGTCCTGCAGGGAGGGCCGGCAGCGCAGTGCCTGAGGGCAGCCCGGGGTCCCAGACTTCCCGCCGGCCGGCTCCTGGCCAAGCCAAGCGCTGCGCAGCTGTGTTCCTGAGGCTCCCCACACCCGGAAGGGAGGCTACTGCGAGGCCATCCGTGTGCAGAGCTGGAGGCTCTGGGAGAGTGAGGAGGACGGTGCACGGCTCTGCTGTACAGCGGGGACGCTCAAGGCAGAGGGAAGGACAGGCGAGACGGGAGAGCTCTGTCCCAGCACTGCTGCCTGGGAGTGCAGCACACATGCACACACACACGGGCATGATGAACTCAGTGCACATAAATGCACGTACAATGCACTCAGTACACACGTGCACACACACACACACCAGTGTGCACACACGGCACACCCTCTTGCTGCAGCAGGACTCAGGCTGCTGGCCAGGAGGACTCTGTCAGAAAAGGGCTCACGCTGGGTCACGCAGGTAGGGGCTGGGTAGCACCCTCCCCAACATCCACACCTTGGGCACAGAGGACTGGCGGCCGGGATGAGGGCAGATGGAGGGTCTTCCTGGTCCCACCACATCCTGTCCTGTGGCACTGCCCTCACTCCTGCCCTGGCCCCCGCACACCTCAGGGACACCTGCTGGATAGGGCTGGACTGCTGACGGCCCTGAGCCTGTGGTGGGCTGCCTGGGGTGCGCTCCGGCTCCAGCTTGGCGGAGCTCATCAGCTACAGAAGAAACCCTGGGTGGAGCAGGGGTGCCAATTGCCTGTGGGCACCCCAGGGATGCTCGCAGAGGAAGACTCGCGAGTGAGGAGTGTGGCCGCGGTGGCTGAACACCGAGGGAGGCACGTCCAAGCACAGCACATCTCTTACTCCCCAACGCAGAGGAGGGAGCAGCTCAGGGAGGGCGAGCACGTTTCCAAGGGTAGAGAGCAGGCTGGAGCCGGGACCCTGGGCCCTGATTCAGAAGCGGCCCCGCAAGCCCTCCCGTCACTCTGCCCAGCGGGCAGGGAGCTCAGAATCACCCGGCCACAAACCAAAGGCCCCAAAACCACCCAAGGAGGTCAGCGGCCCTGGGTAGACTTCCTGGATTTGTCTGGGGCACTAGCCTGCAAATCGCGTTAAATATCCTGTGTGCACGTGTCGCCAGATGCCCTTGGAGACACATGTCTCGTACACCCATTGCGTTCCGTCAGACTCAAAACAGGATACTTTGATATTTTTGGACATTAGCTATGGCAGGGACCCCTCACTGATGTGCTCTCAGTGCTTACAGAACTGCAACACACAGAGTTTTGTGGAGAAATGTGACTCCCCAACGCCCCGTCCTGCGGTAGGAACGTCAGGGGAAGTGACCACACGAGCAAGCTTATTAACTCTATCGGTCTACACGCAGCAACACCCTGTGTTAACAGACCACGGAGCTGACCTACACACTGTCGATGCCAATACAGTATATCTTCCCTCTGATGGAAAAATAAAATCACTGTCATTCTGTGTTTGTGGCAGTGCTGACTTCACACTGGTAAGCTCCGCCCTAGCAGGTGGCTCCCACAGCCCTGAGAGCTGTGGTTACTCCTCCGAGCCCAGAAGCACGTGGAAGGCGGTACCGGGGTGTCAGAGCGGCCCACGTCAGGACGGGTTAGATCCTGCCCCGACCGCATCAGCTGGAGCACAGCCCGTCTCCTCCTCCGTGACATGAGGCTAAGAACCCCTTACAGGGCACTTGGGAGGGTAAAATAAACCACCTACCTAAGCCTCACACTCAGAGCGTGGGCCACGCAGCTGGTTAGAAATGCAGGACCTCGGGCCCCGCCCCGACTCCTTGGGACCAGAGCCTGCATTTAACAAAACCCCCAGGTTTCTTCTGCAACTACAGTCTAATCCAAACTCCTCCTTTGGATTAAACAAGTAAACATGGGGCTCGGAGGGTCTGGGCCCTGAGCACATCGCATGGAGGGAGCGAGGCAGACTGGCCCCAGCAGTGGTTTTAAGGAGCGGTGCTCAGCACGCGGGCCAGGGCGGCCCCAAACCCCGGGACAGGTGCTTTCTGCACCTTCCACCCCGGGCCCAGCCACACCCAAGGGCGGATGGTGCTGGCAGAACGGCCCAGTCAGCCAGCCTGTGGTAGCACAGGCTCTGTGTCAGAACAGTGTCTAGGATGTCTGGCATTCTCCATAAGAACTCCAGAATCCCTTAGGACTTCTAGGTGCCATATGTTATGGAGGAATTCTAATTCTGCCTCCTGGAAAACTTGAGCAGACTCTTCTTAAAGACAGAACTGTGAAGATGTTGCTGGTCCACCCCACGAGCTGGCCTGCATGCTCTCTTGCTGGCCTCCCCAGTAAAGGCAGACGCCAGGGAGGACAGTCCTGGCGCTGGAGAGATTCGAAAACAGCTGTCCACGTCTGCTGCCTGCCTGCTGCCAGGCTCAGCCCCCGGCTCTCCCAGGCCGGCTTCTCCCCCCAGCACAGCTGAGTGCCAGTGCCTGCAGAACAGAGCTCATTTCAGGGATGGCAGAGACGGCCTGCTCTAGCCACGTCATACTTCAGGTGAAACACAAACCTACTGAGTGTTTTAAAGTTTAAAACATTCAATGTAGCTCTCAAAAAAATTTATTTTGCTTTTCAAATATATGACTTTTCTCAATTTCACTGCAAGAGCGAAGAACCAGCACTAGCTGCCCTCCTTCTGGATGGGCCACATAAAATGAGGTTCAAGGTGTTTGTGACCAGACCCCACGGCTACCTGCTCCAGCTCCCAGCTCTTAGTCCCACACAAACTCTGACCACCCTCGGAAGATGAGCCTGCCTGCAAGCGGACACCGTGCACACCTGCGCATACACATGTGTGCTGCTGCTGAATTACAGCAGCCTGGGTCACTGCTCCTGCGAACGCCGAGGCTGTGGTCCCTCTGAGAAGACAGCATTTCCCAGACCATCTGAGTGTGCACGGAGGCACCCACTGTCACCTCTGCTCTGTCCTGCTTCTAACTCCTAGGATGTGTCCACAGTCCCCAGACCTTTTGTTCCTGGTTTTGGCAAAAGCATGAATTTCATCAGAAGCTGAGATAAAAGTTGGGGGCCTCTGCACCCCATTTACTGAACTGGGACTCGAGGACAGAGTTTCGGATGTAGCAGAAAAAGCAGCTTCATTTCTTTGCAGGCAAAGGAGGTCACAGTGGGCGAATGCCTCTAAGACTGTGCACCTGCTTGGGAGAGAAGGCCAGGGGTTTTATATTAAAAATTCAACAGTTCAAGGGGTGGAACTAGTTTCCACAGAGATCACATACAGGTAACAAATTGTTGCAAAGTTCTTATTTTTTGCAGATGGAGGGGTCCCCTTTCCTCCACTGGGTATGAAGTTCACCTCTGGCTTTGGGACTCTCCTAATATTCTTGTACCTGGAACAAAGGGTGCATAGGAAGGGGCTCCGTGGAACAGAGCTCTAGAGAAGAACTTGCGTAGTTTAAAGTCAAGTTAATAAATGGTTTATAGCCTTTTAAGCAGGCTGAGGCCTGCAGCTCGAGCAACAGGATACCAGGAAACCACAAGGGGTCCAAAACAACTGCAGACACGAGCAGTCAGGGCAAGTGATGTGCAGCAAGATGCACAAACTCCCAACTGCTGTTTCCGAGGTGTCGGGGTCAGGAGGACACCGAGCATGATCCTCGTGCCAGCACCACAGGGGTGGCGGGGGCAGACCACCCAAGCCTCCTGCTGCAGCCCAACCCTGGTCAGCGAGAGCGTGAGAAAACCCCTTCACACCACTGCACAGCTACGCAGTTACAAACACCACTGCAGACGTCAGATGCTCCCGATGTTGACAGCAGGGTCCTGCTCGGTTACAAAGTCAGACCATGTCCCAGGGTTTTAGTTACTGCCTCAGACGACACCTACAGCAAACGCTGGAAAAGCCACAGGCCAAAATCCCAAGTGACAGTGACTCCAACTCTCAAAGGCCACGTTCCTCCCAGTGTGAGTAAATTACAGCAGGACAGATGCACTTTTCTATGTTCTAAACCGTTAAACGCCGCAGTCTCCCCCATAACCCTCTGCTGCACACACCCACACGAGTGTGCCCACACCCACATGCACGCGCAGCCCAGCTCAGGTGCCAGCAGTGCAGGGAGCCTCAGCCCCTTCCTGCTCACACGCCCACCAAGACACGTCTGCAGTTTACATTCTCAACAACTGGGCAAGGGTCTGGGAGTCCACAGAAACCACAGAACTAAAATTACCAGGTTCACACTGCTGGGCAAACTTTAGAAATGGATGAGCTGGAAATGAATGCTGGGCCAAACAAGCAAAGATGCAATTTCGTGGCTGGGTGATCTCTCATTTCTTTTTATAACTGCACAAGTCCCTTCCTCGTGTTCCCAAAGAGAAAGCTCCCAAGAACACAGGAGAGTCTCTGGAGAAGACAGAAGGCAAGCGGCCCAGCTGTGCAGAATATGCCAGACGCCTCCAGACAGCTTAGCGGAGACGAGACGAGCTCGGCAGAAGCTGCGCCGCGAGGCAAACTTGTAACAATCAGGTGACGCTGCCTCTCTCCCTGTCGAGGGCTTCCCTGAGAAGCAGCTGCAGTTTAAAAACATGTTTATATTTTTATAACATAGTAAAATGTACGAAATTTAGTGGCCATATTGAGTCCCGAGCCCTGCTTCTGGACAAGGCATGCCCAGTCAACCAGGAGAGGAGGTGACAGGTGGTCCGGTCCCAGGAGAACGTGGGGGCGGACAGGCGCCCCCTGTCTGTCAGCAGACACACCAGCACTCATCACCCTCGGGGGCCCGGAGTCCTCCCAACAGCCAAGGTGGTGCTTCCATCGGCATCTGAGCTGGTTCCAAGAACAAGCCCCGCGGGGGCAGCCGGCACTCCCCACACCACCCGCTGTCGTGTGGGGATGAGGTCCGTGGGCTCCTGCAGGTACAGAGAGCCCAGTGAGTGGTTCTGACAGAGAATCCAGGGCCTGGAGGTGTCTGCCAAGCTGGGGCAAGGGGTGGGGCAGAGAGTGAGCGCAGGAGTGGAGTGCTGGACAGGCTCAACCGCTGGAGCAGAGAGGGCAGAGGCGGGGTCTGGGGTTGAACCCAGGGGCCAGGAGCTGGAGCGCCGTCCTGGCAGAGAAAAGATGCTAAAGGGGTGGGGCAGGGGCTAGGGCACATACAGCAGGGGCCAGAGAAAGAAGACTGGTCCGGAGGCCCCTCAAGTTGCCCCGAGGAGGGCGTCCATAGAAATGAGACACGTGTAAGCACAGAGTGGGGGGGAAGCTCAGCATTACTAAGGCAGAGGCATTTCTGGGATTCAGGGAGGGGAGGGGGGAATGGAGAGGAACCAGGAAGGACCTGCCCTGTAAGAAGAGTCTGACTCGTACCAAGTGCACACGGCCCAGCTGATGTGCGTGGACTGCATTCCAAAGTTCAGACAAAAGCCAGCTAGTTGCAACTGGGGACTAACTTTTCTATGGAAAACACACACCACAAAAGGTGGGGTGGCATCCGGGACACCCTGTGGAAGTGTCTTCAATCCACATGTCACTAAAACACGTTACAGGAAAGGCAGCATTTCAGCCCTGCTGCACGCAGCCTCTGGACACCTCGTCTGGGAGCCCAACCCGACGGCACCGTCTCCCCAGCGTAAACCTCCAATTCAGATGAGCCCAGGGCCTCCGCACCCAGCAGTCACACCAAGAGCACATCCTTCAGCTGCACGCAAGAAAAGGGACTCCCTCCCTTCCGGCCCGGCCGGTTACCCGTCAAGGAGGGAGCCAGCGTGGGTGACCGGGCTCCAGGCTCAGCAAGGGAGGGGGGCACCTTCCACGCAGTCAGAGGACTCCACGTGAGAAGTCAGGTGACCGTGACTCGGTTACTCCTTCTTTCATGAGTATTTTCTGGGTTTCCCATGTTCATAAAGCCCCAGTATCACTTTAAACAAACAGCTCATTATCACCAACCTGCAGCACTTAGTGGTCCACTGTGACCCCTGACTCAGAACAGACCTGGGGCTCTTTCAAGCTGGTCGCTGCAATTTCACGGGTTCTGTTCTGAGCTCCTGCATCAACCCTCACTGGGTTTCAGCTTATTTTTCATCCCAGCTTATTTTCATGGCCGAAAACAAAAGCGCTCAAGCTGGACACACCAGTCAGCCAGCCAGCACCAGCACCCCATTCAGCTGTTTTCAAGATGTGCCTACATACCTGCCAACACTGCATGTATCCACTACTTCTCCCAAGGGGGCCGCGTCCCCTTCCTCTGAGGGTGACAGTTCCATGAGCTTCTTTCCTACAGGTCCCCCAGCTCCTCTAGGAGCCAGAACCAGGCTCAGCAAACCCCACCTGGAGGAGGACAGTGCTGGTGGTGGGGACATGCTGGCCTGGGAGGCCCGAAGGTGGGACTGGAAAGTCACTCTCGTCTCCCGGGACAAGCAGGATCCCAGACCAGTCACTGTAGTTCGGGGGCACTCTCCAACGTGCCCCACAGATACATGACAGTAAGGCGG